GGGCCATGGGTAAAACTCGCTCTTCGAAGTCTTCCATGAAAATATCGGCAACAACGGGAGATACCAGGGAGCCCATCGCTATACCGTCAATTTGTAGGTACAATACATTATTCCACAATAGATAACCTGATGTTAGGCAATGTACTAATAATTCTGCATATTCAATGGACATATTATGTTTCCTCAGCTTTCTACGTACAATTTCAATGCAGTCTTTTACTGGTAGGTTGGTAAACAGCGACTGAACATCAAAACTGATCATAGTGTCATCATCAGTTAACCGTAGACCTTTGATTCCACTGATGAAATGGTATGAATCTTTCACATGTGTAGAAGTAAAACCTCCAAAACTGTATGGGTTACCAAAAAGCCACCAAAAAGCCGGTAAGAATCCCGTATGTTAAATGGGAGCCATTATATATAATCAGTCTGAAAAAAAAAATTAAAGTAATAAAATGTATAAGTTAAAATGTAATGAGAATAAACAAGAAAGTGTCAATGGAATATCCGGTGAATATTGCAATATGATAAGGAGAGCCAAATAGCTCTCATTACCCGCGTAATATCGAATTGAAAAAGGAATAAAACAGTAAAAACATTTCTATTTTGATTGTGATTTCAAGCATAACTTCTAAAATTTGATAGATATGGTGACACAGCTAGTGTAAATACAATGTAGTATCTATGCATTTTAATGCTTATCTGGGATGATGAAATTTAGCAAATTTTATAAGCGCGGAGCGAAAAACACACAATCGTCTCATACGACTAAACGCGGGGCTCTACGGGAGCGTCCACGGGAGTCGAACCTTGTCGAACGTTAACGAAGACATACGAGTGCCGTTCGCATAAATACGAGCACTGGGAAAGTCCAGTTTTACTCCGCTCTCATTACCCGCGGGCTCCCAATACCCCACGTTTCCCTACTATGGGCCTCATAAAAAAGTTCAAAGTCACTCAACAGCGTATGGAGCGAGCAATGCTCGGCATTTCTTTACGTGATCGAATCAGAAATGAGGAGATCCGTAGAAGAACGAAAGTCACCGACATAGCTCGAAGGATTAGCAAGTTGAAGTGGCAGTGGGCAGGGCACGTAGCGCGTAGAACTGACGCCCGTTGGAGTAGAAAAGTTCTCGAACGGAAACCACGAACCGGAAGGCGTTCGGTGGGATCTTTGACTCGAAACTCAAGGAAATCTACAGGGTTATTAACAATCTCCCAGAACTGTATTACTAACATCATAAACAATAACTTTTGTTCCGTGACTTTTAATAACTCGTCAAATTTTACTTTCATTTAAAAATGTAAATATTCAAATAGATCTCTCTAAACGGTGATAAGTCTGTGCAAAACGCGGGAGTAGTCTGAGAGGGCGCTTGCACATTTGAATTTACTACCTTATGATTTCCTTTATGGCGGCCACTAAGCTTGTGCCAGTGTCAGTTTTATAAGAATAATATAAAAATTATGGCGATCATCGCCAGTGTCAGTCTAATCCAAAGTAAATATCACTTACTACCTTACTATCAAATACATATTTAAATAAAAATCCAATTCACATCGGGACAAGCTCCACATCTTTCTACGTTAGTTTTGATTATAGTGATCCTCCCTACCTACCATTAGGGCTTATACGAGAAGGGCATTATGACGTGTGTGCGCACAGGAACCTTACAAGTTCAGGTTCTAACCCCAGATCAGTCAGGGTACAGGGTTGTTACAGACCTCTGTCATTTGACTTCATCCGGTTCTTTGAGAGGCTAGTGCCTTAGATGAGCCGTCTCAGGTACACGTACAGTACCCTCCCTATTTTTCAGATAGGTACCGGAGCTGTAGGCACGTTCACTTCCCATTGCGTATTGCACAACTAGCGGTTGCCACCGCTTAGACGTCGACTCTGAGTCCATTACCAAATCTCCTCATTGGTGGCGGAGCTGTAAGGCACGCTCACTTCCCGGCGCCGAAAAACGACGTCTTTCCAGATCCCAATAACCTAAGCAGCTGGAGGGACCGGAGGATATCTAGCTTATCCTATACTAGCTCTCCGGACTAGTGCCGGAGATGCCAGTCGCAGTGTCCCGCGACAATGTCCGGACACTGCTTTCAACTTAAAGGGCAACTCACGTGCCCCGCGCGTTTTCTTTCTTCAGATCCTGAACTAGACCGCTACTAAGGCGCGCTAGCTGATCTCGAGACAGACGCCCTGGACACATGCAACCGGGCAGACAAACATGTCCGTCTCTGCAGCTAACTCAAACCCCAGCGAGCCATAACCAAGTCCCGGTCCGGCAGAGACGCTCGCAAAGGCGTATCACTGGCGGAGGGCTTAGCCCGAACGTCCGCTGTACCCTGGTCTTGCCGTCGAGCCCGTAGTCTCTCCGGAAAACCCTGTCCCTCTGGTCGTTAGACACGGACAATCACACATTGGGACAGTTGCTTCGCTGTACCAAGCACAAGTACGGTCGTGTATGGAGTACTGCTGCCACTTATGGGATGGCTCTTCTAAATACCAACTGGCCACCTTGGATTATTCAATCGACAAGCGTGCCAAGAGGCTTATAGATGACTCGGAATTAGTAGAGGCGAAGCTGCAGAGCCTTGAACACCACCGTAAAGTTCCTTGCCATATATGACACGGAAAGTGTGCGATGGAATTGAATAATTTGATTCCGTCTTCCCCTTTCATCATCGGGGTAGTAGACGTGGGTTGAGATTCTACCCCTATGTTGTGGATATTCTTAGGATTTGCACGATGCGTTTCGCTTCCACATTTATATGGCGAGCGGCTAGAGAGTGGAATTCCCTACCTGCAGACTTATTCCCCGGATGCTATAACTTGGACCTTTTCGAGGAGAGAATGACTAGGCATTATATAGGTGTGCATGCTACATCGTCGACCTAATCATCACTTTCCACCAGGTGACATGGAGATCAAATGGGCACTTATTTTTTATTTAAAAAAAATACAGATCTAAAAAGTGTCAGATAGTACAAAAAAATTTAAAAGTTTATTTTTGGCATATTTCTTATGTTTTGTCAAAATTCACGGAACGAAAGTTGTTGCTTATGATGTTTGTAATCTAGACATGCAAGGTTTGGTATTGCATATGGTATTTCGAACTGGTAGTCAGAATCCATAAAATGAGAAGTTTAAAGCTTGAAATAAATGACTCAGCCATGACCATAGTACGTAAGTTATTGAGAAATACGCGATAATTACTACATTATGCATCGACGTCATTAGAACTTAACGTGTGGCCTAATCTGATGTTACACCAACTTTTGTTAAGTCGCTTTACTATTGAAAGTCACTTTAAAGTCGAACACATTTTTGTGCGTAGTTAAAGTCTGTTCCATTCCATTTTTAACAAAAAGTAAACAACTGTTTGGTTAAAATTCTAAAGCAATCACTCAATAAACAAATAAGTAACATTTTCATGTATATTTCGAAGATTTCGACTTGATATCTCATGACTGTTTCCAATAATATTTATTTGAATATCATCGTAAAATTGTATTTGAAAAATAGTAGTTCAAAAGTGAGGTAATTTTTCATTTATACATCTATGACTTGTCTATGGTTGCAAATTATTGTACGAAAAAAATCTTCAGTTCATTCAATTCAAGTTTTTGTAATCGATTAGTAAGTCGAATATTTCAATCGCAATCGAACGAGTGTCTAAGTGTAAGGAGTTGAAGGAGGACTTAGAACTAAGATTTCGGAAATGTTACTTATGTTTATATAGCTCATATAGGAAAAACCGCTAGTATGACTCACGTGAATGAATCGATTCATTCAATTAATTATCGATTTGTTGTTGGCATTACTATTGACTATCACTAAACCATCTATGGTCGGGTCAGTGACTTGTTTGTTCACATTTCGTTGAAAATGGATTGAAACGAAGTATACATAAGCTACATTGCAGTTGCAGTTGGTTTTTTTTTGTTAGAGTTTTGTTTAGTCTATATAATTTTATATCGTCAGTTATATTTAAGTTACCAATTTGCTTTAATATTTAAAAAAACTTGAGTGTAGTATTTATTAGGTTGCAATTCGTAACTGCTTGCCTCCGTGGCCGGACGGTTAATTCTGTCGTGAGTGTGGGTTTCATTTGTGGTTGTCAATGTTGTGTCTATGGCACCCGCGATTCCGGGTTTCCCTAGTGCGGGGTTTAATAAAAAAAATATCAGACTGTATTTTGCACATTACACTGTATTTTGTGTCATACTCGAACAAATGGTTATTGAAATGTATCACGTTAGTAAATTATTACATAGAACTAAATAAATAAATGAATAATGCACACACTCAACATAGCCCCGCACTAAGGACACCCTGTGTCGCAGGTGCCATGGACACACACATAGACAACCACAAATTACACCCAAACTCACGAGAGAAATAACTGTAGGGCATACAAATATTTCTCCCGGCCCGGGAATCGAACCTGGGACCTCTGCGTGGTAGTCCGGTATGGTAACCGTTCGGCCACGGAGGCAGTGAAATTATAATTAGTTACACCTTTCCACAATAAATTTAATTAGTTAAAGTTGTTCTTGTGTTGTACACTGTGCTGTTTGGCAGTTTAGGCGGGAAGAAAATGTACAAATAAACTTGGAAGATTTTGTATCGCGTCTTTTCTATTATACTGAGTGGAGGATTAAACTATCATAAGTGAATTATAATTTATTTAAATTTTATTTAATGAAATGAAATCTTATAAAACCTATTTATGAACAAAGGTTCTGCGAAGGATATTATAAATATTATAAAATCACTTATTTGTCGCCTAAAACGTAATATATGAGTAATTTCGTAGTAACGCATTAGGCTCCCATTGAAGGTGAACTAGTGAGTAGAGCGACTCAGGCGCATCTCAAGTTCAGTGTTAATTCACCTCGCTCCGTAAACGCACGCGAGGAATCGGCGCGTTATTTCGAAATTCGAAGTGTTTTTTGAAATTTCAACAAATTTTGCCAACGACTGTGTAGTGTTTGTGCCTTTGTTTTTTTCTTAAATAAATGAAAATTGAAGTGCATGTTTGTGAAGATAATTAGGTTTGTAAAGGTGAGTTTTTATTCTTTTTTTTTCATTCTTATTGTTGTAAGAATGCTTGGTTTATTTGACTATTAATTAAAATTGATTTATGTATGATAAGTTTGATGATTTAAAACAATAAAATAGTACAAAGTTTACGAAGGAATAAATTATACGCGAATTTCAAAAGGACGAGCACAGCTATATTGCATCTCATCGTTTCAATTTGCGAATCAAAGTGACTGTTTAATTAGTAAATTATCGAAGCTGTGCATGATAAATGTATGATAATACTCGTTAAGCTGGATTTAAATAGCGTATATTTGTTTTTTCAAACAAACCGACGTTTCGGGCCCTTTACAGGTGCCATGGTCACGGTTGACTCTTTTTATTTAATGAAATTTGACGCATTCGTAGCTGGAATCTCATTATGTTCACGTTTCATAATATAGATATTACATTTCACAGAAAATATAAGATGTATATATACAATTTATAACATGTAATTACTAATATTAGTAGGTAAGTTTTTCTTTGTAGCACTAAGGAATATGAATGAATAATTGGAAATAAAATATTGAATTTGAATTGAATAGTTCGATTTTTAGACACATTCAACTTCACTGTTAAAAAGGTTATAAAGTAAAACTTAACATTTTGAGATGTTTTACACATAATATTTTATCTCGCTTAACTAAAACTTCGTCTTCTCTTAAATTTGTTACGTTCTTATAATGTCTGTTTTATTTTATAACCACACTTATTACTAAAAATTGGTCCGTCTGAAATTGTAAGGTTGTTGGTGAAATTACAGGCATATGGGAATTGTCAATATGTCTCAGGGTGAAGTACGCAGTGGCAGTGCCCCTCAGATCTTTTGTGATTGAGTGGCACTGCATGGATAGACGTGTCGCTTACCAACAGGCGCAGAACTTGTTCGTCCCGTCGCTTATATTATCATAATTTTTTTTGAATATCTCGGTTTTTTTAAGAACGGTTTATACTGTGGATGCTAAACGAAGTGGATTTGCGAAAGTATCTTTTCTAAATTGGTTGTTTCTAAATTGGTTCTAATTTGGGTGTTATGAATTTTGTTACTCTGTTACTCATAGTACAGAAATAGAAACTAGTTATTGGAACGCCATATTATAAAAAAGGCACAAAAAAATATGAATAAAAACAGAAATAATACAAAAAACAGCGCAACAACGTTTAAACAACAAGTTACATAAGACTGTACTGAGATGTGTGCGGGTGTGGCGTATGCAATAATATCCCATTCCCATTCAGCTAAAGTCACAACCAAGACTAGGCTGTGACGCTGCTTTTCAATGGGCTTTAGCCGAGTGAGTGTCGGATGTATACAGGGAATGCACATTATTATGATTATTATTCACAAGCGCCGGTGGTAAGCTATACGCACAATAATTGTAATGCTAATCAGAGCTTTAATTCGCAAAAATCTGAGGGGCACTGCCACTACACTTGTCACTCTGAGACATAAGTTGACAAGTCCCTTCTTCTTAATTGCTTCCTCACTATTGAGGATCGTGATTCCACTTCGTAAAATGTAGTGCGGCGCTGACTGGTAGCTTCAGTTGTTTGGAGATCTGATCCGACAACCTTTTAGGATTCCCGCCCCTAGATCTCTTTCTCTCCATCTTCCCTGTCACCATTAAACGTTCCAGGTTATAAGCATTTCTACGTGTCACGTGACCAAAATAGCGTATCACATGCTGCATGCAAGTTGAAGACAAACGCTGTGCATTCTTTATATAGTACAGAGACATTGTACCATTGTACTGTCCACGGTACCCTTAACATTCTGCGCCAGCACTACACTTCAAAGGTGTCAATATTTGCCCGTCAGCGGCTTCCAGTGTTCATGTCTCTGATTCTAATCTGACAAGTCCCATGTGCCTGTAATTTCACCAGCGCCCTTGCCCTTCAAAACCGTCACGCAGTAACGTGAGCATTACTGCTGTTAACATAATTAATTGTTCCTATGTGTTTTGGTGTACGAATCGCAAAAGAAATAAAATTTAATTATTAATTATCGTGGCCATTTGCTATATTAATATAGTGGTAACGTTTTACCAAATGGTAATGGATTCAGAAACCGGTCTGAATGACGTGACAACTAGAATGTGCGGTTTTTGAACCGGAAAAATTTACATCTAGCTCAGGTAAATTTAAATATTTTTTTTAAAATAACGCCTATTCATTCTCGCCTTGAAAAGGCCCAATTTATACCGTTCAGGGAATAATCACGTACATTCAAGGGACATCCCTTCGAGTCCGTGGACGTCACAATATGGCCAAAACGTCGAGGTAAATAAAATATGTTTTAAACGTGATTAAGTCACGAATTAAAAATGAAATAATGTGTAAAATCGTGAAAGTTCACGGAATAAGTCTGAAGGCAGGGAATTCCACTCCTCAGCTGTTCGCTTTATAAATGTGGAAGCGAAACGCTTCATGTGTTCCACTATTTTTGAGTTACTACATTATTTAGTTTTAAGTGCGACATACTTAGTTTGATTGTATTAAATGGACCAATATGATCCTGTACGTAGCTATATGTATATCATGATAAGGAATGTTCTATAAAAGCCAGCAATGTAAAAAAACCGGCTTAACGTTTGCTCGTAATAAATGGAAACTTGTTTTTGAAATGAACGCAGATATTTTTAACTTGGGTCTGCGAAGTATTTGCTTCTAATTACAATAAACTCCAGTCATAGAGGCATCGTGTGTGCAAAAATGTAATAATATAGATATTCCGTAATTTTACACATACATTTACTTTATTTTGTATAAATTTAATGATCTGTTGAAACTAAAATCAGATTTTTTTGTCACAACTTCGTTCGTAGATGGAGTGGTTGTATGTAGACATTATATATCATATCTAACATACAGGGCAGCTACCTTGCCCAACGCATTAGCATAGCCATACAAAGGGGAAACGCTGTCAGCATCTTGGGTAGATTACCGCAGGGACCTAATATTATTCATATAATTTAGTCCTAGTTTTATTGTGTATTGTCCAATAAAAATTTCAATTAATGTTATACTATATATTGTATATAATCGCAAATATTGCAGCCTAGCCACAGCGAATTATTAAAAGAGGAAAAGAAAAGACTAACAAATAAAATGATATCAAGAAAAGGTACAATTAATACGAAACACTCCCTATAAAAACTAATAACTAAAAAACAATACATAATACTCATCCCAAGAGGGCCTATATAACCATACAATTTTAATAGTGATCGAGGTGAAGTTGAAAAATATAACTTTCTTATTTAGAAAAATATATTTACCAAGATTTATTGAAATCGGTTACCGCCAACCGGATTCATCCCTTAGTTTGCCATTTTTAGAGCGGTTACACACTGCGACTTTTATTTATAATGTATTAATTTATAGCATTCATTAATTTGACTTTTAAATTTACAATTAACAAAACAAAATATGGTGCATACACCTATACAGATTTTTCGTACATTATTATTCAACATAAGCGACTGTATCGATGCAGTCCTGCGTTTGCATCGATGCAAGCGCACGTTTGTATACTGAGGTATCCTCTTTCCAATAAAAACCGTGACTTCAGGCACACGGGACTTGTCAACTTATGTCCCAGGGTGACGGGGGAAGTGGCAGTACCCCTCAGATCTTTGCTATTTAAAGCTTTGAGTGGCATTGCAACTGTTATGGACAGGCGTGTAGCTTACCGTCAGGCGCAGGACTTATTCGTCCCTTCATTTGGTATTATAAAAAAGTCTTGTTAATTGTTTCGCATTCTTGGCGTAATAAGGCCACTTCTGAGAAAATTACATTTTTTGCCTGTCCATAACAGTTGCAGTGCCACTCACAGTTTTAAATCGCAAAGCTCTGAGGGGCACTGCCACTGCGCCAGAAACCTTGAGACATAAGTTGACAAGTCCCATGTGCCTGTAATTTCACCAGCACCTTTGCCCCTTAAAATCGTCACGCAGTAAAATTAGCATTACTGCCGTTAGCATGATTATTTGTTCCATATGTTTTGGCGTAAGAGTTACAATCGCAAAAGAAATAAAATGTAATTATTAATTATCTGTCTTTTTTTGAGGCCGTTGCTATATTATAGTGGTAACGTTTTACCAAATGGTAACAGACTCTGCAACTGGATGGTCTGGATGACGTGACAACTTGAATGTGCGGTTTTTCAACCGAGTAAATTTACATCCAGCTCAGGGAACTGCAATTTGTATAATTTTAAATATGCATTTTTTAAACCGGAACGCAGTAATTACTGTAATTACTGCTTAGCGGCAGAAATGGTAGCAGTACTTCCTTGGATGAACTCTTTCACAAGGAGCTCTATTGCGATTAAAGATATGCATCTCAAAGAACCTTTAAAACACTAGATTTACGTATAATCAATGAGGTAATCGGAGAGTATTCCACGCTCCGATATGTTCCTGACATATCTCAATCACTTCCTTCAACGTCTTACATTGTCTTTATAAAAACAAAGTAATAAAAAACTCCGGTTCAATGTTCACTGCCACCCGAAGCAACGCAAAGATTGACGTCACAGCGTAACTTGTTTTAGATTGTTCGTGATCATGGGAATTCCTCAATGATTGGCACTGAAATGAGAAATAGCCTCTCGTGTTCTTTTTGTGCTGGGTTATTTTTAACCCCCGACGTATAAAGAGGGAGTTACATATTTGAAATCTTGGTCTGTGTATCTTTGTGCCTAGTATTTTTTATTCGGTATACAGTAATTAAATCGGGTGATTCTTTGATGGTTTTCGTTGAGCTGTTTATAGATTATCAGCTTTTTTTCCAGTTAATGTAGGGATCGCAGTCATAAAAATGAATATTTATTTTCAGTTGATTAATTATTTGTATTCCATAAATAAATGAGCGGGTAACAGTTCTGATATTACACAACTACGGCTTCTTAATTTGAATTCTTCTAGTGGTGCCATCTTTTGCTGGAAGTTGGAAGTTGTTAAGGCCAGCTTACATTT